CAACAGTTCAGGATGAACATTTTACTCAAAGCTAAGCCTATATGACTTTATTAATACTAACGTGTGAATCTAAAAACAAAGCAAGTTGACTTGAGCTATACACTGTAAAAGTCTGTATATATTTTAACATATATATATATATATATATTTTTAAAAGATATTTTTGTAGGTACAAAATTTAATGATCGAAATAAAAGTGTAAAACTTAATATTACGAGACATATTAAAACGGGCGAAACAACCGGTTTTGCTCCGCTCTTCAGGCTTCAACGGGAATTTAATTTAAAATTAACACAGAAAATGTCCAAAAGTTGTGGGAGGAGAAAAAAATAGCAAAAGGAACTAGAGACAAATGACAGCGAGCCATAACAAATACTCACGTTGTTTAACAAAGAAATTTTATAACCCGATGTAAAACTGCCTCCAGAACCTTTAGATGAAATAAAGAGTGTGACCATAAGACAACAAAAAAAACCAGTCAGCACTATATTTAGTCATCCCCACGAGGGTATCATGTTTACAAAGGCCGGTTTAACGTGTGATCTCCGAGCCCGTGGGCTCGGCAAAAAATCTACCCTTTGGAACCGTATAAACGGGTTCAGGGGTCGGTTTATCTCCCGAAAGAACTCCGCCCTTCGGCGTAGCCTCGTTCAAATTCCTCCCCGCCCGAAGGCAGAGAGTTCAACCGATCAACCGATCAGCCGGTCGTCCTACTTCAGACTGAACCAGTCAGCACTAAATTTGGCTGCAAAATCTCTGTTTTTAATAGGTGTTCGCATATGGCAGAACCATAGGTGTTCGGGACGAGTCCATTCAACGGCAAGTTGTGATTTCTAATTTTAGTAGGAATGTGTTGTTTTATTCTCATGTCTAAGCGTTGAGTTGTTCTCCCTATGTAGTCGGCTCCGCAACTATAAACGTATTTATAAATAATTGAATTAATTTGATGGGGAGGGAGAACGTCTTTACACGCGGAACGAAACATAGGCCGAGTTTGAAAAATAATCCTAACTTCGGCAGAGAAAAACAACGACGAACATTGGATGAAATTTGTTTAGCTATTTTTTTCATATTTGGTACCAATCCATGGTAATCTGAGGTAAACTGGGCACTTTTTAACAGTGTAGAGTTCGGCACTTCTGAACTCTTCAACTTTACTGCGGATAATTGAATTAACAGTATCAAGAGGATAACCCAAACTACATAGGGTATCCTTAATAAAGTCGATTTCGTCGTTCAAGAAGAGCTCAGAGCAGATCTTTAATGCTCTATGTAGGAGGGTTTTAATAATGTTAATCTTGCGCTTAGTGGAACAAAAAGATTCCCAACGCGTATACAACCCTGCGAAAGTAGGTTTTCTATAAACAGAAGTGAGAAAACCTGTTAATGTACGATGTACTAATACATCCAAAAAGGCCAATTGAAGATTGGATTCCTTCTCAACAGTAAACCGAAGTGCTAGGTGGATACCATTTTAAAAACGAAAGAAACTGATCAGCCTCAACTTCACTGTTGAATAAACAAGAGGTATCATCAACATACCGACAATACATTTGAGTACAAAGTGGACTCTTTCGTATCTTTTCTTCGTGAAAGCGAACAAATATGTTGGCAAGTGCCGGACCCAAAGGCGAGCCCATAGCAACTCCGTCAATCTGTCGGTACATGGTGTTGTTGAAACTAAATTCGACGGAGGACGTGGCAAATTTCATCAATTCACAAAATATTGACTCAGGAATACTAGGTGGAGTCAATGAACTGCGATAAAGAAAATCACAGCAAATATCGATGGTTTCCATTAGAGGGACACAAGTATACAGGGAACAGACATCGAAAGAACACATGAACTTACCAAAAGAAGACAAATTATGAACGCGGTCGACGAAGGAAAAGGAATCCTTTATACAATATCCATCCAAGCACTGCAACACAGGATCCAAAAGTGTGGAGAGCCATTGGGCTACCTTGTGTTGGGCTGAACTGATCATAGATAAAATTGGTCGTAATGGTATACCTTCTTTATATATATATATATATGTATATATATATATATATATATATATATATATATTATTTTTATGTTTATACATTCTTTTAAAAGATACAAATATTTAAGGAAATGGTCTGTTTAAAATAAACAGTATTAAACAACATTTACCGGCCATTTACTTAAATATTTGTATCTATAAAATGAATGTATAAGCATAAAAATGTTTTTAAAATAATTGTCAGACTTTGTACATTTCATAATGTGATATATATATATATATATATATATATATATATATATATATATATATATATATACATATATATATATATATATATATATATATACATACATATATATATATATATATATATATACATACATATATATATATATATATATATATATATATATATATATATACACATTTATGTGTAAGCCTGGGTATAACGATAAACTACACCTGGCAGCAAGCGCACTGAAGCAGCGGTAGAAACTGTCCGGCAGCGTGTCCTTGAGGATCCATCAGCTTCTACTCATTGTCGTTCTGCTCAACCAGAACATCGCTTCAGAATATTCTTAAATCCATAAATTATTTTTCTAAATAAAATGATAAAAAATTTAAAAAAAAAAAACGTGTTTGTAAAAGTTATTTTTGTTTTATATCATTCAGTGGCCATCCTATATTTAGTTGAAGCCATAAAATTGCGTTCAACATATTTAGTTTTCGGTATTAATTAACCCATCAGTAAGTCAGTTATGTGCCATGCGTGATACACGCTTGGGCGATCATGTATCTTTCGATACATGATTGACGCAGTAGGTTGCCATTGTTTTCTGTCCTGCTATTTACCCAAGAGAAGATTCATACCTTTCCCAAGGGTATTAGAACATAAGTGAATGCAATGGATTCGACTGGAATTCGAACTCAGCTCTCCGATTTCTCAATCTGAGCCGCTATCCATTACTCCACTGTGTAAAGTTGTTGATATTCCTCTAAACAAAATCAATCAACGTTTATGTGCATGTAGGTAAACATATTCTATAATGTAATCATTCAATAATGAGTCGTTACTTTTTTTTGATAATGCTTAATTTTGTCAAATTTAAATTAACTAATAAAAAATCCTTTACGATATCAGAAGACATTTTAATCCATCTAACACCAAGTGGCCCGCTCACTGCATATTCATTTCGAAAATTTGATCGCATATAAGAATATAAAATGGAATGATACCGATGTACGTGCTTATCAGTAGGAGTATATCTGTTCGTTTTTTTTCTGTGTTTGTGTATGCGAACGCTTGTTCATATGTTTGTTTGTTTTTTCTTTTTGCACATGTATATGCAAATAGCCTCATTTTCATCGAAATATGTTAGAATGTGCATATGTTTGTGAATGCATTTTGAGAGAGAAAGAGCGAGAAAATGGTGAAGTATGAAGTAGTAAGTATGAAATAATTTTTTTCTTGTCTGTGTCTATGCTCTGAACACCTGTTCATTATTTACCTCACCCACCCCTACGGCACTACAACTCAAACCCTCCCCACTTTCTTGCATACTTTCACACCTGCTTTTTCTACCGGTATACTTACTGATCAACCGATTTGTCCTTTTACCTGTTCGGTCATTCTCACCATTTTCTCTCTTGCTTTCTCATACTGTTACGACATAATGTTTCATAGATTCACCTTCCCAAACCTCGGAGGTCATCTGTAATAGTATAGATATTTTTACACCTACAACATTAATTTAAGTATGTGTCTCGTAATAAAACTAATAAAACATACATATTTTTCTCTTTCTTTTATGTTCTTTTGAAAGAAACACCAACTCAACCCACGATAAATGTTTTTAACCCTAATTGTTTCTCACCAGAAGCCCCCACAAAACATGGTTTTAAATGGATGAAGGGCATTTATAAACATTTTTATTCACCTTTTAATTCCTCCCATAAGCGCCGTCAATCAGCTTTCGACAATGCTAATATCCAAAACTATATTTTCAACGCTCTTCTCCGTGATGGCTGCCATATTTATGAAGTCGCTTGAGTGTCCTGACCCAAACCATTATGCGAAAAAAGAAACAAAAATAAAAATAAAAAAATAAGCAAGAAGATTGTCGAGCCTGTGGGCGGAATTTACTCTGTCCCCCAACTAGGACGAGATGTGACACAAGGTCTATTTTTAGATGGGGACCCGAGCACGTACACCCGAGACAGGAACAAAAATTCTCCTCAGCCCTCGCAACCGTCGGTTGCGCTGGCCTCGATGCGAGCACCGATCCCTCCCTCTGGTGCAATGGGAGGGCGCGACCTCGGGCAGCTGTTCCCCGGGGCTGGGCACCTCTTCAATATTATTTTCCTCAGTTGCCCCTCTGTCCTTTGACAGAGAAACCCCTGGGCGCACTCTGCCCAAGGACAGAGCCGCAAATGAGAGATGATAAGTAGACGTGAAATTACTCAAAAAGCATCTCTAACTCATTTATTCACGATTATGTCAGTCATTAGACTCCACAAAAAGAAGCAAATATTTGTGCACATATCGTGTTGAAAATATCAGGGGAAATCCGGGAAGAGACCACGTGCACAATTGTTGACTCCATTTAGATCCATCAATATTTTTCGGAGCATCGTCCTGTCAGTCGCATACAGCAACTGTATTCCTGTGCAGAAGACTACCCACCCACCAAAACCGGACCTATGTCTACCTAAATATTGTTTATGGAAATGACAGAAATCGGCATTGAATAACCTGGTAAAGATTGATATACCGTAAAACAAACTATTCGGTGCGAAATATTCAACTACAAAAACAGATCTGTTTTTTAATGAGACAAAGCAAACACGTGATATTACTTTGGGTAACTTGTAATCTCACAAATTGTTGATAGCAATTTTTTCACGTTTTCCGAATCTTCGAAATTTCACCTGTTTTTATCAAAACCGGTCACCACACCGCGCGTATTTAGGTGTGATGCATATATCCGGTATACCTTTATCAGACTGGCTTTACGGCCATGTCGCGTTGAAACACCGGTTCCCGGTACGATCACCGAAGTTAAGCAACGTCGAGCCTGGTCAGTACCTAGATGGGTGACTGCTTGGGAATACTAGGTGTTGTAAGGTTTGAGGTACGCGTGCTGGGAAATTTTAATCGTACAGCGGAGTTCCAGTTCCAGTTGGGTTCGTTATATTCAGTTATGCGCAATACCTTTGGGAAAAGTATCTCCCTCTATCTATGGGTTAATTAGTAAGACTCGTATCACTAAATAATTATTATCTAAAAAAAAAGTAAAATTCTTATAATCTAAAAATATTTCCTGGTTTTAAATAACCTGCAAACGGTTGGTAAGCCGTCAAAAACGAATGAATCAATCAATAGATAAATTTATCAGACTGTCATAAAAGGGCATACTGAGTTTCGTATATATGTATCCCAGCGTCATTTTGTTGTCGTGTTTCTCTCTCACTCAACAACAACAACAGTAACAACAATAATAGCAACAACAACAGTAATAATACTTTTAATAATAGTAATATAAAAATGTATGCAAACAGAACGCTATCTTGTCTTAACCGAGGTATCGAGTAATAACTATCTAAGGGATTGTATTGAACAAAAATCAAAATATAATAATAGTACTACTTCTACTTCTACTACTACTACTACTACTACTAATAATAATAATAATAATAATAATAATAATAATAATAATAAAATCAACAACCGGTCGAAACAGTTGGAGAGGACATCAAATAATAATAACCATAATAATCATAAGTTATAATGTATTTTCATTCGTAAACTCTGTCAATTTCAAGTCCCCCACCCTCTCCATTATCTCTCACCAACATAGTCTGCCATAAGGATGGAATTTGTGGCAGCTGCAATGATAAACAGATCTTGATATATGTATTGTATGAGACGCTGCTCTCTAAAACTATTCAACGAAGGAAATGAAGCCAAATTCTCATGGCATCAAAATATGGAAGTTTTACTGCAGGATATACTTTGGTACCAGAGTTGTCAATTTAGCTCATTTTGGAATGAGAGCTAGCTCTTTTTCAATGTATATAGCTCCTGTAAAGAAGCATCTAGCTCTGTTTCTTAGTAATATTTATTTTTTTTTATAAATAAGAAAAAAAGAGAGATGCTAATGTACAGAAGCTAAATGCATGGAAAAAGACCTAGACGTATCTCCTGAAGAGCTAAATTTACAACTCTGTCTAGTACAGCTCTACTTTCATCACAAAAATTATTTTTTCATTTTTCTCATAGAGATGTTTGCTTAATGGTGGTAGCAGAATCTGAAGAACAACGTCTTACATGAGCATACGCTTCAACTTAAAGCTTCTTGGTTGCAGAAAACATATTGTCCAAGAAATTATATTTAATTTCCTGCATTTATTTTAAGGCCATCATCAACTTTGAAAATTTTATTGCCTAAAATGCAAGCTGAAAACATTATTCGACCTCCCTGCTGTTGTCTTCTAATTCTTATTCGTTAACTATTTCTGCGAAAGACCCTAACTACAGCCCAGTCATGAGTAAAAATGCTTCTTTGCGATGTCAGAATTGTCAATTTAACTTTTTTGTTTGTTTTTTTTAGTAAAGATCTTTGTTTGTAATTTTATAGCACTACTCTATAAGATCTGATAAAGAATTGTCTTCTTTAAGAGCTAGATTGACTGATTTTTCTTTTACGGCTTATCAGCCTTTCGCAAGTTATTTAAAGCCAGAAAATATTTTTAGATTGTAAGAAATTTTTGGAGATAATAATGATTTGCTGATAAAAGTCCTACTAATTAACCTATAGCTTGGGGAAAAGAGGTCGATTCAAACCATTCCCAAAGGTATTTGACCGTAAGTAAATATAACGAACTTGACTGGAATTGGAACTCGGCTCTCCGATTTCTAATTCCGAGCCGTTATCCATTACTCCAACCGCACATCCAAGCTTACAGCACCTGATATTCGAAAGTGGTCACCCATCTAGGTACTGACCAGGCTCGACGTTGCTTAACATCGGTGATCGTATTTGAACCGGTGTTTCGACATGTCATGGCCATA